TAAAATAAAGTTTAAAAAAAATTAATTTAAAAAAGTCTGACAAGAATAAACGACGCTGTTACATAAATTTACGAACAATGATTGAAAGCGAGCCGAATAAGTGCACCACGTACCTTAACTAATAAGGGTCGTCTAAGCTCAGAGCAGCATACAGCGAAATCAATTATGTACCTGCGTGTCTAATTGATTAATTAATTAATGCTTCGTAGAAATATACACCAAAGGCGCTTTCGGTTACCTCACGCCCAACTGATGTTGCGCAGTTTACCGCTTTCTTATAGAGAGACACGTTGGACATGAGAAAAAAATGGAACGGTTTTTTTTTATTACGCCTCCATTGACACAGATTAGATTTATGATCTAGGAGTAGGGGGCGAGTTTCCGAGCCTGCTTGTATCAGGGCCAACCGGGGCTGAAAAGGATACAACATCACAGCAGAAAGACCCAACCGAGATACTTGATAAAACTTCTCCCCACTCGGGAATCGAACTCGGGTTGTTTTTTTTTTAAATTTTAGTAAGAGCTTTACGGCACTTGCAACACAAAAAGGTCATATAAGTACCGAAGATTAGAAGTTTTATAAGAAAGTAACAAACATAAAAAAGAAGGAGGAGAGATAAAGAAGATAGTTGTTTGATAGGAAACAAGTAGCAAACCACACCAGAGCACCCGCCAACCACCCACGGGTTTTTCTTCATGAGACAGCGAAGCGCTTTATAGCCGCTACAGCACAGTAGGACGTTGAACTCCAGCAAACAAAAAAGTGCGTTCCCTACATACATTGCACTCGATTGGAGATTGTGAACAGCGAAAGTGAAAGTAAACATTGCAGCAAGAAGAAGAACAATCAACAACCAAACAACTTGTTTGTTTGAGTAAAGAGGAGCACATCGATACAATAACGGTCATTTAGAACTGGGGAAAAGTAAGACAGAAAGATAGACTGAAAAAACCCCCCAGCCAATAACCAAAGGACGTGCTTGTTAAGAGAAAAAAGAAGCACGTCCATACAACAATGGCCATTTAGTGATGTTGTTTTTGTTATAGTCCCCTCGACGCCCTAGAGGTACAACAGGACGAATGAAAGCAAAAGTTTTAGTTTTAGTATGTTGAAGCACTTAACACACAATAAGATGTGTTTCATATCTTCATATAAGTGCCGAAGATTACAGGTATTACAAGAGAGTAACAAACACAAAAAAGAAAGAGGAAAGATAAGGACGATAGATGTTAAATAGGAAAAGGGGCAAACCACCCCAGAGCAACCGCCAACCACCCACAGTGCTGTTGTATCTTGATGTGGTTGGTGAGTTTGTTGGGTAAAAAGAAGCTCATCGACACTATAATTATCATTTAGTGCCGGGGGAAAAGTAAGATAAACAGACAAATAGACAGAAACAATAGAGGGAAAGTAAAGAAGTAGAACCTACCAGTGGGGCCTCCCAACCACCAGCAGACAGACAGAAACAACATAGAGAAAGTAAAGAAGTACAACATACCAGCAGCGCCCCCCACCCCCCCTCAAACCACCTGCCAACCGGTGCTGAAAAGAACAACACCAACGGTTTTATTTCACCAATC